TCAAGGCTATGCCAGGAGGTAGGATAAACCAAATGGGATTGAACATGAATTGTACATAAGGTCTTATACCAGCTAGTTGATGAGGGCCAAGTGTTGAGTGTTAGGATTGGTGAGGATTGATGCACTCTTTAATTTATTAATTCATTCACTAAATATTTATGGAACATTTACTTTGTGCCAGGCACTAAAGGAAAGAGATGAAAGACATCTGCCCCTAAGAGGATGAGAAAGGAAAACATTTGCATTAGAATATGACAGATACCATGGAGGGGATTGGTACAGATCACTCTGGGAGCTCAGAGGAGGGTACTTAAGAGGAGAGAGGAGGGTCTGAGGGTGGACTTCCTGGAAGAAGTGATGCCATGGCTTGTTCTTAAAAAGTGAATAAGAGTTGATCAAGTAGAAAAGTGAGGTGAAGGGCATTTAGGAAGAAAGAAAAGCAAAGGCACAGAGACAACATTCAGTGCAATGAGTTTCTGGGAATGCAAGTAATTTATTTTATAGGCTGTTTGTAGGACAGTCATGTGAGTTGAAGCTAAAGGGAAATACAAGTATCAGATGAAGAAGAGCCTTGCATACCATATCAAGGCATTTCACCTCAAAGGCAGTGGGAAGTCACTGAACAGTTTTAAGTAGAAGAGAGATGTGATTGGATCTGAATTTTAGAAGCTCCTGGTGTAACAGAAAGGAGGGATGGACATGGTTAGAGTGGGAAGGTCAGCTTTTGGCACTGACCCCATTGCCCTCCCCACTGTCTACATTGTCCCTTTCTCCCTATAAATTCTGTCATCTTGTTCCTCCCTACCTTATCCAACCTGATTTCCTGCCCCTTTCCAATTTTAGTCAGGTTGAGTCAACTTATTCAAACATGCCTACGCATTCCTATCTTTGTGTCTTATTTATTCAACAGACATTTAGTGAGTGCCTGTTGTGTACCAACCACAGTGCCTGGCATGGGAGAGCCAAAAATGAATGAGACATGGAACCTTCCTTTAATGAGCTCACAGACCAGTAGGGAGATACCATGGAGATACATTGTCACTGTGGAATATGACCATGGCTGTGTTATGGGATAAACATAGAATACCCTGCACACAAAAAGAAGAGAGCCTGTTTATGAGAATCCTTCCTCCTCTGCTAAATCCTACCTATTCTTAGGCCCCTGCCTATACTCTCTATAGAAACAGGGTGGTGTAATAGGTTGGAGCTTGGGCTCTGAAGCCAGACAACAGGGTTTTAATCCTAATTCTACCATTTATCGGCCATGTGACCTTGGCTAGAAATTCTTTTTTTTATTTGTATTTTATTTATTTATTTATTTATTTATTTATTTATTTATTTATTTATTTATTTATTTATTTGTGTGTGTGTGTGTGTGTGTGTGTGTGTGTGTGTGTGTGTGTGATGGGAACTCGCTCTGTCACCCAGGCTGGAGTGCAGTGGCCTGATCATAGCTTACTATAACCTAGAACTCCCAGGCTCAATCCTCCTGCCTCATCCTCTGAGTAGCAAGGACTACAGGCATGTGCCACCATGCCCTGCTCATTCTTTAAAATTTTTATAGAGGGAGGGTCTCACTATGTTACTCAGGCTGGTCTTGAACTTCTGGGCTCAAGCCATCCTCGTGCAGCAGCCTCCCAAAGTGCTAGGATTACCATCATGAGCCACCACACCTGGCCCAGAAATTCTTTGTACCTCGGTTTCTTCATCTGTAAAATGGTTCTGATGGCTAAATCAACTTCATAAGGTTATTGTGAGGATTAAGGGAGATAATATGCATAAGAGCCTTTAGAATGGTTCTTGGCATGTGAAAAATATTTAATAATTATTAGCTATTATTCTTAGTTTTTACTTATTTTCTTTCAGCACCTATATTGTGTCAAGAAACTTTAACCCCTAATTATCTATTATTATGTTACTTGTCCTATTTTATGTCATTTCTCTCAAGGATGATTTTATTCTCCTTTGAGATATATATTTTATATTTATCTGTACTCCTGAGACACTTGCAGTGTTGGGTATTAATAGGGTTATCGGCCATACCAATTTTCCCAGGAGTGAGGGGATTTTGGGGACACAGGACTTTCTGTGCTAAAATCAGGGAAGTCGTAGGCAAACTAGGACAAGTTGATAACCTTACACCCAGTAGACACTTGAATTTGCTTTATTTATCTCTTTTTGGTCTCAAACCTAATTTACAAGCAGGTTCACTTTGGCTTTGCCATATATTACAACATCTGAGTTTCTTTAGGGATTCCTGAGATACCCTAGGGTAGATACTTTGAGGGATTCCTAAAAAACCTCTCTCCCATCAGCTATGGGTATATATACTAGATATTGTGGACAACCACACAGAAGCCCTCCTTATCCTGGCCCACAGCCCCAGAGGCACCCCTGCCTGTCATTTCCCATCACTACCTGCATTTCCCCATGAGTCTTCATTTGCTTTCCACAGTTGACATAGCTACCTCTCTTTCACTGGTAGTAACAGAGAGGATAGAGTGAGGGGCCCAGCTGAGGATCCATCTCCATTCATCTAGAAAACTACCTTTGGCTCTCCCATGCCAAACTCATTTAACTTGGTGGAAAAACCCCTTTCTTAACATGAGGCTGCTCTCTTTTTCTGTGAATTTCCCAGTTGGGGCCAAATGATTTTCCTCTTTTTAAGCCCCATCTCTCCAGCGCTGGGACAGTGTTTGCTTTGGGCAGTTGCTTTCCAGGCAGCATTCTTTAAGGGTCTCCTGGGGCCTCTCTCTCAGAATTCCTAAAAACCATGACAAGTGTTTGCTGACTGCCAGCCCATCTTCTCCAGGTTCTATGCCAGTACAATCAACAGGCTGGGTCAGCAGCCTCTGAAAAAGTCAAGCCTGGCGTATTAGTTTCCTAGGGCTGTCACAACAAAGTGCTGCATGGCTTGAACAACAGAAATTTATTTTCTCACAGTTCTGGAAGTTAGAATGTTGAGAGCAAAGTTTCAGCAGGGTTGGCTCTTTCTGAGGGATATGAGGGAGAAATCTGCTCCATGCCTTTCTTTTAACTTTCGGTGGTTAGCTGGCAGTCTTTGGCATTCCTTGGCTTATAGATACATCTACCAATCCTCTGCCTTCATCTTCTCATGATGTTCTCCCTGTGTGTGTGTCTCTCTTCACATGGCATTTTTTTTTGGTAAGGGCACCAGTCATATTGAACTAGGGGCCCACCCGACTCCAGTATGACTTGATTGTAATGTAACTAATTATATCTGCAATGATACTATTTCCAAATAAGGTCACATTCTGAGATATTGGGAGTTAGAACTTCAACATGTGAATTTTGAGGGGATACAATTCAGCCTGTAATACCCAGGTCTTCAGGTGAGTCCAAAATATTCCATGGAGATGTGGAGACCACTTCACCATTGGCAAAACAAAACACCACTCATTGCTCATAAATCCATTTCAGTTCTCCACTCCCTGGGTGTTTGATACCAACTGCTCTGCTTGTTTATCACTCACTCTCTAGGACTGTGGTCCCCAACTCCCAGGCTGCAGACCAGTACTGGTCCTGTTAGGAACTGGGCTGCACAGCAGGAGGTGAGCAGAGGGAGAGCAAGCAAAGCTTCCTCTGTATTTACAGCCACTCCCCATGGCTTACATCACCTCCTGAATTCCACCTCCTGTCAGATCAGCTGCAACATTAGATTCTCACAGGAGCGAGAACCCTACTGTAAACTGTGCATGTGAGGGTTTGAGAATCTACTTTCCTTATGAGAATCTATTGCCTGATAATCTTAGATAGAGCTGAGGAGGTGATGCTAATGCTGAGGAGTGGCTGCAGATACAGATTATCATTAACAGAGAGGTTTGACTGCACAGAGAGCATAACAAATCAGTTGCTTACAGACTCATATCAAAACCCTATCAGCGAGTGGCAAGTGACAATGTAAGAATAATAGCAATAAAGTGCACAATAAATGTAATGTGCTTGAGTCATCCCAAACCATCACCCCACCTCCAGCCCCATCTGTGGGAAAAGTGTCTTCCATGAAACAGGTCCCTGGTACCAAAAAGGTTGGGGACTGCTGCTGTAGGACATTGTGCTGACTTCTGGGGATATTAAGAAATATATGTACACTTGAGTCACCAGCTGTATGTCAGGATATATCAGATGTTTTTAAAGAGAAGCCTGCTGAGGAAAAGTTGTATCTGTGGCATATAATGTAATAATTATTATAAAGGCAGTGACTCCCATCCTGACGAATAATGATTACAAATCAGTTGCTTTTTAAAATGCTCTGGAGAATACCCTGGTGTGTGCAGATGGGGGTTGGAGACACGTGTGTGTGCATGTGCCTGCAATAGCTTATGATAAACGGAGTCACCAGACTCCTCCCCAACCGTCCTGTACATTTTCAAGGGGCTGTGGGGAGCAGTCTGCATCTCTGCCCTCTGGAGGCAGCCGCTTCCTTCTATCAGCTCCCTGGAGCTGCTGACCCATTCCCCTCCAAAGAGATAACTCTGTTCCAAAAGATAACACCAGTAGTTACAGGGAACTTGGCAGGCGGGGGGTGGGGAAGCAAAGCAAGTCACCCAGTTAGTGTTTTCCTGGTGTTCTCACGCAGAAGCACAGACCATCTTTGTGGGTGTGCTATTTCCGATCCTGGCAGTTCAGCCTGAGACGTGAAGGCAATGATGGGTCTTCGTGAGAGTGGGGGCTAGGGAGCGGATGGGATACAGAGCTTCTTGCAGGTCTCCTCACTTCTTTCCAGGGACGCTGCACCTCCAAGAAGTCCCAGGGGCAGACGAGGCACCTAGCTAGTGCCCGCTTGTGCCAGCAGCCGGGCAGACTGCTAGCTTGCTCAGAGGCGGCGTGCCAGCTCCGCACACAGCGCCTTGGTGCCAGCTCAGGGAGCTGTCGGCTCAGTGCCTACGCCCCTCCGCTGCAGCTCAGGGGGAGCCCCGGGGTGGGCTGCAGGAAGGCACGACTGCAAGTTGACTTTGCCTCACTATTCTTGCTGGCAGAATACGTACACCAATGCGGACAAGCTTCTAGAAGCAGCAGAGCAGTTGGCTCAGACTGGGGAATGTGACCCAGAGGAGATCTACAAGGCAGCTCGACACCTGGAGGTGCGCATCCAAGACTTCGTGCGCAGGGTGGAGCAGCGGAAGCTTCTCCTGGACATGTCTGTCTCCTTTCACACACACACCAAAGAGGTAAGCGGAGCTAGAGGAGAGAGAGCATTCAGTCCTGGGAGGGTCAGATTGGCTTCCCAGTAAAATGGCCCTGAAGGTCTGACCAGGGTCCTGGGCAGTCTGTGGGTTACTAGCCTCCTAACTTTGGTAATATTAACAATTCACTCCTGATAACCTGCATTTAGGTCTCTATAAAATGGGGCATCATTTCTAGTGAGGAAGGGGCACCATGGAGGCAGGTAGTTTTGGGGGGTCTGCTAGAGCACTCTGAAGCTGGAGAAATTTTGGAATCCCTCGTACAGAAATAGTCACTGCAAGGGGAAATGTAAGAAAAGCAAGGACTTTCTTCCCATCCCACACCCAGTTTCTCTTAGTTGCTCTTTCTTGGCAGATATCAGAGTCCTGTAGAATTTTGATCAGATATCTTTGCTACCAGCAAGGAGCATACAGAGTTTGCCGAGGTGTTCTCTGTTTTTACTTTATTTCCCATTTTATTTATTTTTTAAACAGGGCACTTCATTTTCTTTTCTTTTCTTTTCTTTTTTTTTTTTGAGACAGAGTCTCACTCTGTTGCCCAGGCTAGAGTGAGTGCCGTGGAGTCAGCCTAGCTCACAGCAACCTCAAACTCCTGGGCTCAAGCAGTCTTCCTGCCTCAGCCTCCCCAGTAGCTGGGACTACAGGCATGCACCACCATGCCCGGCTAATTTTTGTATATATATATTTTAGTTGGTCAATTAATTTCTTTCTATTTTTAGTAGAGATGGAATCTCGCTCAGGCTGATTTCAAACTCCTGACCTCAAGCAATCCACCTGCCTCGGCCTCCCAGAGTGCTAGGATTACAGGCATGAGCCACCACACCTGGCCGGGACTTCATTTTCTCAATGAGGTCTGCGGCAGGGTGATGTTGAAGTCAGCATGGTGGGCAGTGAAGGAGGGGGGCAGAGATGTCATCCATGGAGGAAGCCAGTGGGGCTCACATCCCAGCCTGAATCATTCACCAGGTGGAGAAAGGGGAAGGGAGGAGGGCTCATGTTGAGCCGTTGGCAGGGCAGAAGGCCCCCACAGAGAGGAAGAGGGTTGCAGACCCATGATTGCTTTTCATTTCTGATTTGCATGGGGTACTCTGAAATTGAGTAAGTGGCCAGTAAGGAGGCACATTTAGCATCTTTCATAATAACACCCTTGGCAGATGAACTCATTAGGTGTATGCATGCTCATGTTCCCCCAGGAATTTATTTTAATAGAGTATTAATTAAAGTTTGATTGCTGCTCGGGAAAAAAAATTAACCCTACTCAATTAAGTTGAAATTTGATATTGGGAATGCATTAAGAAGCCTGGCTGTTACTATTTTACGGGCTTTTCTGGCACTTTGCAGGGATGAATGGGAATCATTGCAGTGCCTATCAGAGAAAAATATGAAGCGATAATGTTTTCTAAACTGAGATTCCCCAGGCAGATGAAGGGCTGGCGAGCTCCCTGAAGCTGGCTCTGCTTCTTCTCTGTAGGATCCACAGCCACTCTCTGATGAGTGTCTATAAAGCAAAGGGATTAGCTTTAATCCAGGGTTTCCTGCCTAGTTGTCTGCTTGCTTGCAGCTCACTCAATTCTTAATGATGGTCTCAGAAACCAAAGGCATATGTGTTCCCATGTAATTATGAGACCATAGGTGATGGAATGGAGCATATATGTACAGGAGTCATGCTCCTCATGTGGGCTATAGGGGTGCTGGCTTCATAGACAGGTGATGGACAAAGCCAGTTTCCATGGAACTGCAACTCCCAAAAGGGTGACCACAGCTTCCAGAAATTCTTCCTAGCTACATCTCCTACCTACTGTACATGGAGCTGGAAAGCTGGGATTCTAGTCCAGATTCTGCTGCTAAAGAACCATATGAACTTGTACAAGGCACTATGTCCCTGGCCATGGGTTCCTTCATCTATACAATTTTGGATTTGGACCTTGAAACTCTAAGGCCCCTTACAGTTCTTATGTGGGTTCAAGCTTCCTTTCTTTTTCTTCTCCTCTCCTTCTTTATTCAATATTGATGATAATAATTAATAATATTAGTAATTAATCCTGAATTGGTATAGGTAACTTACCTAGCCTGAGATTTGGCTCATTATAATCACTCAATATATATTAGGTGTTTTTGTTTAATTTTGTACTTACTACTTGCTAGACACTTACATATATCATCTCATGTAATCTTCATGATAATCTCATGATGCAGATTTTATTAAACCTATTTTAAAATGGGGAAACTAAGCCTTACAAAATAACTTGTCTAAGGTTCCCAAGTTTTTTACTAGTAAAGCTGATATTTTATGTGTTTTCTTATTACCCATGCTCTGTCCTTTTTCCCTCTTGCATCTCTCTCCCCTGTTCTTTTTCATCCTTACATTTTTAAACTCCCAAGCAGAGGCTTAATGGAGAGGCATCTTGGCTGAGAAATGTAAAATATTGCCAGTGTTGGGAGTGTGGGAGATAGGAATAGTCAGTGCTGAAGTTATTAACTGTTATTTTCCTGGATAGCTCCTAAATCTGCTAAGGTTGGTTCTCTTTGAACCTGAACCTTGTTTTCCCCCTGGGACTCAGCTTATAAAATCACATTCATGTGTAATGGTAGTAGAGGGAGCAAGGTGATACTGAGGTGAAGAGTGAGAGAGGAAACGGAATTTATTTAGCACCTACTATGTATAAGCTATCTAATCAATAGCCATGAAAATTATCATTTTTATTCCAGTTTCACAAATGGGAAAACCAAAGTTCAGAGAAATTAATAATTTGCCCAGGGTTTTGTAGCTAGGATGTGGTAAGTATAAACTGATTCTAGGTCTTTTTGACTCAAAAGCCCATGTTTTTTCTCCTTTGCCACAAAGGCTTTTATGTAAAGGCTAGTAAATAGAGACTTGGGAGCAATTTTTTCACCAAGGAATTCATTCAAACAGGGGGCCGTCAGGAAGTAGCATAGTCTCTTTCCCCTGGATCCAAAAGTATGAGAGAAATTCGGAACCCTCTTTCCTGGTTACAGAGGGATGTGTTGTTGTGATGATCTTTCTATTCAAGAGATCTGTAACTCTCAGATCATATAGATTTTAATTTTTTTTTCAGGATGGACAGAAAAGCAACATTCTGAGTGGCTGCCACAGAGGAGCTGGTCACAGGGGCCACACAGTAGGATTTTGTATCTGCGTGTTCCCTCTCAGTTCCCTTCACACCCACGCAGCCCGTATGAGGCCCCTTTAAGTGATTTGCAAGGCAAGGTAGAAAATAAGATGTGTGTGTATGTATGTATGTATGCACACACAGGTGTATGAATGTGTATGTGTGTACATATATGTGCATATACATATACACATATGAAGTACAGCAAGATCTTGGATATCAGCTATGTGTGATTTCCAGATCTAGATCCAAATTTTCATGGGCATGCTGTGTGCCTTTGGAAGAAGAACTTAATCTCTGTTACTTTGTAATAATTATAAGGATAATTATTATAAAATAAAGTAGTATAATACTTTATCCATCTTTTTTCTAGTAGGAAAGTCCCTCCTAAATTTTCCTTAATGCCTATTTAAAGTGGGCTCAAAAAGGAACTTGACAACTCAACTCAGCCATCATTTTTTTAATTTAAATTCTTCCCTGGCGCTTCCAATTTCCACCCAAACAGGACCAGATCGCCATGTACATACCTCCATCAGCAGTGCCAGGGTCACACTGAACTGTCCTAAGGGGAAGTTCCCATCAGCAATTAAGACCCCCTACCTAAGATCCCTTTATTTACATTGTCTGCAGAGTTTTAAGTCAAAGAACTGGAGTAGATAAAATGTGGTTGAATGAGCTTTTCCCTTTTTTTTCTTCTTCTTTTTTTTTTTAAGTAGAGACTACTGGCTTTCCACTGCTAAGTAAATCCATTCATTCAATATTGATTTAGCACTTCTATGTATCAGACACAGTGGCAGGGATATACCATAGTATTTATGTCTACACATCTATAGCCACAGGTGTACCATACATATAAGCACTCCCAATCTAGTTAAGAAGAGACAATGACAGTTCATATTCTGTTTAATACCTCTCAGGGCTTGTCACCTCTTAAACCTTACTAAGTGTGGGTCCTATTTAATCCTGCATCTATTAACTCTTGACTCCTTCCTCTTGACTCTAGAGGTGAGGATAATAGTCAAGGTGACTAGTCTAGAAGTCTGCTAGGGAATTTTGAGTTGCCATGGTTTTTCTTCCCTCTTACCATGAAAGGAGCGAATGGAAGGGAAATCTTTTGCTTAGCTTTGCTAAAGTGGTCTTGACTATTGCTGATAAATATTGTTATAGATTCTTCCTGCCTACTTACTGCTAGCTCCTTCCTTCTTTCTTTCCTTCCTCCTCTTATTGCTTCCTTCCTTCAAGTTTTTACCTTGGTGCCAATGTATAATAGAATGCCATCATCAGCTGTAATTTACATGGAATGAAACTCCCTTTATAGGAGATTTCTGGGTAGAAACTGAATACCCATCTTCATAAATGATTTAACCTAGACTTCCAATGACTCCCCAGGCTGAAGTTCATAATTTTACTTTTGCCCACTTCCCACATCAAAACGTTTACTCTAATTAGGATCAGAGAGGAAACAGAAGGAAGGTATAAAAAGATAACCTCTAGGCTCTTTTCTTTTGCAAATTGAAGAGTCTACTTAATCCTATTGGACTTGCTTTGTAAATTCTTCACTATGGTATGAGTTCGAAAGGTTAAAACCATCTAACCATTTCATTACAGCATTATTCGTACGCTTAAATAATTAGAAACCATCTAAATGTTCTATGTTGGGTGATTCATTAAACAAAGCATACTGTACCTATACAGTGAAATATTATACAATCATTATAAATCACATTGCCAAAGATCATTAATGACATGAGGAAGGGCTTGTGGTATAATATATAAAAAACTGTGTTCCCAACATGACCACAATTTCGAAACACCTAGAATGAATACTAGAAGTAAATATATCAAGAATTTAAG